TTAATAAAGTCAGTCAGGGAATTAAAAAGGTTTCCCCACTTGGGTGGGGGTTTTACCAGTCAATATGCCCCAGTAGGGTGGGAGTTTGCTAGGATTTGTAATGATGTCAAGTCAAATCCCCACCTTGGCCCGGGGTGGGGGGTCGGGGTTTCAATTGATAAGTGCATTACAATGATAATCTGTTTTGCCAGATGCTAAGATTTCAAAGTGATCCCATTTAATCATAGTTAATTGAGTGGAATGGTTATGAAACCCGTCACACTCCTTTGTTATATGTTTTTGTGGACCTGAAAGTGCACAACGTTCAAAAGAATTCCTATCATTTTGATTGTATTGACCAATAAAAACGTTGCATTAATTTATTCCGTAACAATTTGCAACAGAAAACAAAGGATTGTTCACTTCCACGGTACTTCCAACATAAACTGCAGCACTGTTGTTTTTATCATTGATGTTTGCCGCTTTTCATAACCAGTCTCCTCTAATAACTATGATTTAATGTTATGTCGGGTGGCAGTGACACAGTCAGCAATAGCTGAAGAGTGATCATTTTTCTGTTGGGGACTTGAAGTGTTCAGTCTTGCTGTCATGGAACCGTCGCTTAGTTTTACCAATGTAAAAATCATTACAATCCCAACAACAAGCTTTGTAAATGACTTCGGATCTTTGAGAGCTAATGAAGGCGGTCCTTGTATGGAAAGAAAGATTTAATACGGCAAGCGTTTTGAAAAATTATAGTTAAATTAACACAAGATTAAAACTGGTAAATACAGGATTTTATAAGTTTAGAAATTTGGTTGCTTTGAAAACCTAAGTAAGGTAACAAAATAATAACATCCTTCTAAGGGACCATAGAAAAAGGAACAACTCGCTTGTTTCGGTTTCGTTCCAAAACATCATTGACGTGGAAGTTGATTTTTCCTTGGGGGTAACCATTCTGAAGAAGAACTTTTCTTAGATCATCCAGGGCAGATTGTAGCAAAGAAGAGGAGGAGCAAATTTGGTAGCAACGATAAGTCAGAGTGCGAATTAAGTTTAATTTGCGAGGAATGAAAGAGTCCCATTTAGTATAAAAACCTGTGAATGTCTTTTTCCGGGTAGACAGATATCATAAACTTGGAGGTGTTGGGGCCGCGTTCTACTAGGATATCGAAAAACGGAATTTCGTTGTCATGTTCAAGTTCAATGGTAAACTTAATACTGTTGTGACGACTGTTTAAATACTGTAGAAACTCATTAGCAAAGCCTTTGTTGTTAAACATGGTGAAAGTGTCATCAACGTACCGAAACCAAAGTGAAGAACATGATTACCGAGTTTCTAAAGGCCTAAAATCCTGTATTTACCAGTTTTACTCTTGTGTTAATTTAAAAATAATTTTTCAAAACACCTGCCATATTAAATCTTTCTTTCCATGCAAGGACCACCTTAATCGCTCTCAAAGATCTAAAGTCATTTACAAAGCTTGTTGTTGGGATCGCAATGATTTTTACATTGGTGAAACTAAGCGACGGTTCCATGACAGCAAGACTGAACACTTCAAGTCCCTAACAGAAAATGATCACTCTTCAGCTATTGCTGACCATATCACTGCCACCGGACATAACATTAAATGGGATCACTTTGAAATCTTAGCATCTGGCAAAACATATTATCATTGCAGTGAGATAAAAGAAACATTGTTTATTCAAGACCTTTATAGTAAGCCAGCGTCAACATCAGCAGTGAAAAGTTAATGCTTTTTAAGCTGTTGCCTTTTGTATTCATTCAGTTACTGTTAAGAATTTTTAAATTCCTAATCTCATCTCCAGACCCCTTGTAATTTTTGAATATATAGTCTCGTCATTTTCTTAACGGTCAGTTAAGATCACTTTTGAAAATGTATGTTAAGAGCCATTATCTGAGAAAATCGAGAATCGCACGACACTCGTCAAAAAATCGAATTTTTTTTTATTTTGTCAAAACATCCCTTTTAGTGACCTTATTTAAGGAAAAATAGTTTTGGGTTCAAACGATTCATTTTAAAGGAGAAATTCAAAAAAGTTTGAAAAATCGATTTTATTCCTGTTTTTCGAACAAAACACGGCTGGATGCAATGGCAACTTCGAGAGAAGGGTGAACGCGTAAGAAACATTCCCTGACATTGAAACTTCACCGAATTATTATTTTGTTCTTACTCTTGAAAACCTTAAAAGAAAATTTGATAAACAATGCTTTACATTTTTATAATCGACAAGTGTAAAGAGGTCATATTTGTGACGTTAGACGTGCTAGAAAATGAAGGCCAACTTTGACTATTAAAAAAGGCCTCTGGTATATGCCGCTTGATCATAAAATCAATATAAAATGGAACCTTGGCTTTTGTACTAACTTACTGGAAAGTTTTAGCTCTGGAAATCAAATATCATCCTGACACCAAAGCAAGCGGTGAGAGCAATTGAATTGGGAAATTTATGCAAATTAGACGGCTTGCGGACGGTTGTCAAACTAAAAAGAAAGGTT